TGTTGTTGCCTAAGCACGCTCTGGGGGCCCTGCCCACCAGCTCTTCCATTCGCTCCTCCTTTTTTCTCACTTGCTGCCCGAGAGATTTTTCTTCTTCTTCTTCTTCTTCTTCTTCTTCTTCTTCTTCTTCTTCTCCTGCTGTCCCTCTTCTCTCTGCTCTGCCTCGCACCGTTCAGCCTGCAGCCTGCAGCGTTCCTCGATGCTCTGCAGCAGCAGCACCACCACCACCACCACCACTACCGCCAAAGACTTCGGCCGCAGGGTGCCACCATCGCCGTACCGTACAGCCGACTTGACTTGGGAGTGACAGGCTCGCTCGCTCAGCAGTACTTTGCGTGTGACACCCACCACCCTCTCCCACTGCAGTGATGGCGACAACCGACCTCCGCACCCCCCACCTCCATGACCAAGGCCGTCAAGTCCTGTGCCCTTCCATTTCTTCATTGTTGACATGCAGATGCCTTGGCCCCCTGCACGCTTTCCCGCAGGACCAGGCAGATGACTGATGTGCAAATGTAGGTACAAGACCTTCCTATGCTTCCTATGCTTCCTATGCTTCCTATTCCAGTAACGAGCCCATGGGAACATGGGGGGAACAGGTGAGGAGGTGGGTGGGTGAGTGGGTAGATAGGTGGGCATGTACAAGACATGGCAGATGTCGGTTTCAGCAGTCATGGGTTCATCGACTTCCCCACGCCCTCTGCCCAACCAATCAACCACGCTCGTCTGCTGCTGCTGCTGCTGCTGCTCCTCCTCCTCCTCCTCCTCCGCACCTGCCGCCCCTGTTCACGCTTGCGCCTTCATCTCTGTGCGGTCCGTCTCCACACCACCCAGGCCAACCTCCGTCCGACTAGCCTATTCCAACACACGGTAGAGACCGGTCTGACAGCCATCCATCCCAACCAACACCAGCCCGCCTGAGTACCTACATACTCTACCTACCACACTACCATACACTACACCACAGTACCTACCCGGCGAACCCACGCTTGCCCACTTCTTTGGCTATCTCTGCTATCTTCCCTATCTTTTGCCCCCTTTGGCCCCCTTTGCCCCTCTTTGTCCTCTCTTGATCATGGCTCCCCTTCTGCTTCTTCGTCTTCTTCGAAATCAGACAGCCGACTTGTGTCACTTCCTCAGCCTTGTTGCTGGGCTTTTTGCACCCCCGTCTCTCGTAAGCTGACGACTCACTTCATCTCTCCCCTTGCCCTTGTACCAATGTACACAGTCTCAGTACCTCCATCTGGAATGCTTAGTCTACAGGTACCTACGTCTTGCTCGTGTGAGACATGACAGCTTAGGAATGCGCTCATATCCCGTGACATTGCCTCCGCATCGCGACAACCTGCGGCCCTTATCCTGGGTCAAATCACGGCTGTCGTGAACTTTGTTATCGGAGCTTCTCAGACCCCGCTTCTCTCTGCACGCTTGCACAGGCCCGCCTCGATGCTGCATGAACGATCTGCAATGCCCAACACCACTTCCACTGCCCGCCTTCGATAGGTCCATGTCCATCTGACAGCACAAAGGTTCAACATAATTTGCTGCCATTTGCGCAAAGATAGAGCAGCCCATATCTATTCGGCCACATGCATCTCTTTCATGCCTCGCTAGAGCTGTCACCCCCGCAAAGCCACCTCACCCAAACGGTCAGGGGGCAGATGAATCTGGACTTTGCCAAAAAAAAAAACTGCATGACATCCTCTTGGGGAACCGGACAGAGCAAGCCACGTAGGGGAGAGACTATCTATGGACAGGTTGGCTGTTCAGGACTTGGAACGCCTGTTCAAACTGTCGTGTTGGCTGTGCATGGCTTGCGCAATCCAAGCCAGCCGCGCAGTGCGCAACGCGGCCATCCAGTTCAAGCGTGTGCCAGATTGGCGCTCGGAAGCGAGATAGCCTTCATGTTCAACTCACAAAAGACGCGCACCTACCAGACCAGCCGCTGCCAAAGGGACCAATCAAACTGTGCTCATCTAGACTCAACCTGGCGAATGATGGCCGCCTAGTAGGCTGCAAGTCACTTGCCATGATGTGCCCAATACGAACATGATGCATGACCCTCCACCCCCACGGACAGAGTAGAATGCCCTCCACAGGTCCTGCACGACAATCCATCTAGCGAATCATCGTGACGCTTGCAAGCATTCTGCAAGGAACAGGAAGTTCGTATCTCAATATCGCGGTTAACGAGATGAGCGATACAATTTGATCCTCGCTAGCCTGTTGCTCACCAGCCTCTCCGTCCATGATTCCAAACACTGAGTGCACCGCCCGCACGGGAGCCAAAAACAGGCCTTGGTGCCGCCCACGATGGCTTGATTTCCCCACAAAAGAGCGGACACCAGTCTAGTTGCGACATTGCTTGCGACCCTGCCAGAGGGAGGGCCCTGCGCGTAGAATATTGAAGATGGTCTGAATTTAGCTCCCGTCTGAAGAGGTTCGACGAGCGCTTCGGGACGATGATCGCTATTGACTGCCATATAGTTTTATCGACAACCTCCTGTGAATCGCATGGCTGAAGAGCATTCACCCCTCGATCAGTGCTTTACGAACCTCGGCCTGCTGTAATCCTGGGGGAATGGCACTAGCCCTTGCTGGATCGCTAACGCTGTGCAAAGTTCTCGTTGCAGGCTTCCCAATCAGCAGCTGCAGACCTCTCAATCAACAGCAATGTCACTCGCATGGTCTCGACCCGCAAACCAACTATAGGAAGAAAAAATGCGCACATAAACGTCCAACACGAGCCTGCATTATCTTGCAGGGCTCGAGCACGGATACAGTAATGTCAAAACACATGCATCTCTCCAATTCCATGGCCCCAGCTGCTGCAGATACTATGGGGAAGTCGCAACACAGCATGAAGGACCGCGTCCAACAGGACCATGTTGGAATGCTGAGCTGCACCGAAGACCTCAAACGACAAGCGGCTGACGCCGTGTAACGCACGGCAGAAAGAGACAAGAGCAATGTGGTAGAGGATCCCATCTTAGAGGCCAGTGCACGGTGCGCATACCGACACGACTCTTCCTTCAGTCAATAATGAGCAGCAGCCGCCTTCTCGTACTCGCGTTTGTACAATGTATGATGCTTGACGTCCATCTCCCGAGAAGCGGCCTTCCTCCTCCCGAGTGTCGGCCCGTTTGCGGTGCCTCATCCCGTTCGCCATGAACTCTGGATCTCAAGACTCCCAGGACAGCCCTTGCGGAAGGATGCGGAGGGCGAAACAAAAAAAAGTTGCATGTTTCAGCCATGGGAACAGGTGAATGAACATCGGACCGGCTGGCCGTCTTGAACGCTTTGTCGCTTTGTCAGAACATGCGCCCATGAGGGAATTTGTTGACTCGTGTGAAGCAGAGTGGAAGGACCCCATCGCTCGTGCAGTCAACCGAGCCAATGGCTTTCCATGCGCCTTTGTGGACCACGAGCGCAAGGCTGGCAAAGAGCATCACGTTGAGGCTAGAAGATCTTCAAAATCAGCTTTGGGGCTAAGACAGTCCGAGTGTGCTAAGAATTATGTGCTCCACTTTGCTCGCTTACGTGAATCTCACTTGGTCTTCCTGATGATCACTCACAAGACACCAACAACCAGCGACGGCCTAAACTCCAATGCTCTACACAAAACATTGAGAAACCAGAGATGTCCCCACCGTCGTACACGCGCGAACTCACCCTGGCCCTGCGAGCCGTGCATTCGGCCTCTCTGCTGACAAAACGGGTCTTGCGCTCGCTCTCCAACTCCGTGTCCGCAGAAACCAAAGCCGACGACTCGCCCGTGACGATTGCGGATTTCGCCGCCCAAGCTGTGCTGATTTCCGCCCTGCACGCCACGTTTCCTGAGGATGCATTTATTGGTGAAGAGAGCGCTGACGCACTGCGCTCGAATGGGTCGCTAGCGGACCGTGTTTGGGAGCTTGTGCAACAGGCGAAAGAGGAGGCGTATGCGGCTTCATCTGGAAGGAGCGAGGTGCAGGGGAAGGGTGCGGGGTGTGCTAACGCATCGGAGGAAGAGAAGGAAGAGAGGACGATGATGAGGAATGAGGAGACAGTGGCGACGGCGGCGGCGGCCGAGGCGGAGGCAGATGCAGACCAGCAACACAGCTTGACGTTTCCCGCGAGCAAGGAGGACATGCTGGACTTGATCGACCGCGGGGGTAAAGGCCAGGTCACGGGATCAGGACGGGTATGGGTCATGGATCCCGTGGATGGGACGGCAACGTTTATGCAGGGGCAGCAGTATGCTGTTTGTCTGTGTTTGCTCCTCGATGGCGTGCAGACGGTTGGTGTCATCGGCTGTCCAAACCTCGCCTTGGACGTACAAGCACCACCAGGCACTACCAAGCTGCACGAAGACACCGTCGACACGCACGGCTACGGCGTCGTCCTATCCGCCGTCAAAGGCCACGGAACCCACGTCCGCCACATGGAAGCATCCTCCCTAGGCCCACCCCACCGCATCGATCTCACCACCTTGCCCCCCAAACCCCTCACCCAACTAGACTTTGTAGAAACGACACTGGGCAAGACATCTCTCTGTCAAGACGAGCACGCAGCCGTAGCCTCTTGCCTCGGCGCCCCCTGGCCCGGCACCGTCCTCTGGTCCCAGCAACTCAAGCACGTCGCCCTCGCCCTCGGCGCAACAGACGTCATGGTGCGCATCCCCAAGACGGCAGACCGCTTCACCTACATTTGGGACCACGCGGGTGGCCACCTGCTCTTCCAGGAGGCCGGCGGCATGATTAGCGACTTCCACGGCGAGCAAATTGATTTTGCACAGGGCCGGCGGATTCTGGGAACCAGGAATTTCGGCATGATTGCCACGCTGCCGGGCGTTTTTGAGGATGTTGGGCGCGCGGTCAAGGAGGTGCTTGGGAGGAGGGGGGAGTGAAGGGCTGGGCTGAGCTGGGTTGGACTGGGTTGAGTGTGTGTGTGTGTTTGTGGATGAAAGACAAGATTGCCAGACTGCTGACCTGTATCTGTCACTTATCCAAGACATTCATCCATCCCGCATCCCGCATCCCACCTGTCGTACCCCTCACACCACAAACACCCCCCCTCCACTTCATGGCACCACCGTGTAACATCCTCCCCCCTCCCCTCCTCTCCGCAAGAAAAAGCAAGAAGACAGCCCCATACCACCTGCACCGCACCCCACCGCACCACCCTCCCACAACATACGCAAACCCCCAGCCCGCAAAACACAACCTGCCCTGCGAAGAAAAGTAATGGAGCGTCAACGGGGGATCGCGATTTATGCATGCGCATGTACATGTATATGTCTATGCAGGAGTATATGCAGGAGCCTTGACTCCGACTTGAGTCGCGACTTTTCCTTTCAGCTGAGGCTGAGGTTGAGGCACAGCGAGGCGGGGTACGGTAGTGTAGGACGGGACAAATAGCTAGCCAGAGGCTGGGGCGGGAGGGTGAAGGCAAGGGGAGTGTTTTTTTTTTAAGTTTTTTTTTTTTTTCTATTCGGGGCTGGTTTGGGTGGGTTTGGGTAGGTTTCTGTCTACGCATGAGATGGCGCCACGAGATTATGCAGAAAGCTTGGGATTGGAGGGAGTATGTACACGCGGGAGTGCAGTTGGACGTTGTATTGGTGTGTCATGTCGCCATGGTGGTGTGGTTGAGTGGTTTGGTTTGGGCAGGATAGGATGTTGTGGGAATGAGGATGGGGGACTTGAACATCAAGGCTGGTAGGAGTAGATAGTAGGATATGATGTATGATGACTCTTTGTAACGCAGCATGTGCACGGTATGGTAGTTTGTGCGCGAGAGCGAGGGGGAGGGGTTTGGGTGTTTGCTTGCTTGCCTGTTTGCGTGTGCAGGAGACGTCGAGTTTGCAAGGAATGTTGATGAGCGCACGCTTAGGTGCCAGAGTGGCTGTTCTTCAACACTTGCACCAATGCTCCAGTCAATCAAAACATATTGCACGTCCATCACAACGGCAGCAAAGAAGCAAGAAACAGAAAAAGGGAGCATGTTTTTTAACCGGGGCGAGCCGTCGTTGTATTACATTGAAGCGGAGTGAACATCCAACCTTGGTTTTATGAAGCGCCGCCCCCATTTTTCCGGAAGCTTACTTTTTCCACGGCTACGTTTTCGTTGCCTTGTGCGTCTTTGCGGAGCTGGTAGACGTATAGTACGAGCACGTCGCCTTGGACCTGGTTCTGCTGTTAGCTTGTTGTGCGTTGTGTGATTGCAAATGCACAGCATCGAGTCCGATCGGGATTGGGGTTTCAAACTCACATCCATTAGTACGAAGCTGGGTGTGGGATCCTCGTCCTCTGTCCACCAGCTCGTCGTCATGGCACCAGTTGCACTCCCCGGATTCACAAAGAATTTGCCCTCCATCTCATAGGCCTCGAATCTGTGCGTGCCGCCCCAGAGCAGGACGTCGACATCCATTTGCCGCGCGGCGATGAGGAGACTGTCGCCATCGCCCGGTGGTATGATTGTGTGGCCGTGTGTGAAACCTATGCGTAGCGAGCCGTGGGTGACGACCTTGGATAGGGCGAGGTTGGGGGCCTCGACGTCGAAGTCGCCCTTGACGATCTGGAGATCTGGGGCGATGGCGCGCAGGAAGTCGTAGGTGTCGCGGTCGGTGATGTTGCCTAGACAGAGGATTTGGCCAATCTTGCCTGGTGCGAGGAGCTTCTTGAACTGTGTGGCGCAAACGTGAGCTTGGTGAGCGCATCGACGCAGGAGGAGAGAGGGAGGGAGAGGGAGAAATGGGTTGGAGGTGGTGTGGGAGATGTATGTGTGGGGAGCAGGTATCGCGCACCTTTGCGGGAATGTCCTATGTAGCCTGTAAGTCTGTGAGGTCGAGCATTATGCATGTAGTTTTTGGTTTCCACATACGGAGGCCCTTTCTGGTATGAAGAGGTCGCCCAAGACCAGCACCAGTCGAAAAGCCATTGCGGCGTACTAGGAAGCCCCTGCGCCCTTTCGAGTCCCCCTGAGGGAGTTTTGAGAATTCGCGGGACAAAATACAACAAAGCGCCTTGGGGGGTGGCTCGCCTGTTACGAGGGAGGGGCTGCTTGTGGAGCTGTATGGGGGGGGGGGTGGTATGTTGGAACTGGGGGACGCTAATCTGGGCGGCACCGAGTGGCAGAATGAACCCTTGCCAGGTACGGTGATGATGTAAGCGCGCTTGGTCGGACGGATCTTCTTGCATAGTAGGAATCTCACGGTGGCATGGTATGGGGTATCTTGTGGGAGTTGGCCTTGGCTGGATCTTATGTGGGCCGTAATCTGCACATGATTGTTTTTCCCTCTGCCATACGCAGTGCCATGTCACATGTGTAGTTCGATCCAGACAGGAGGCTCCCACAGGGCCAGCTCCGCACGCAACGGCTTGAAATCTTGAAACTCCAGCCACGTCGGGTGGTCCATGTAGACTCTACAGATCAGCCGTGCGAGGGATGAAGAGTCAGTTATGTCAAAGGACTTGCAAGTAGTAGTTGCAGTTGGCCGATGATGACCCATTCTTGGATTTCTCCTCGGTCACGCCCTGTTGGGTGAGCGAGGGGAGCATTCCAATCGAACTTGGACAACAGGACATTGGATCCGCTGACGGCACCTTGAGCTTGGGTGGCGGAGGACGAGCACATGGATGCAGGAGGAGCACATAGAAGGATGAGGATGGTGCACATGGCCTGATGTTGACGTCGGATGGCCACGATGGAAGCCCGTCTGGTCTGTTGAACGAGTGGAGTTACGGGAACGGGCACGCTATGCCGTCTCCAGGCCTGTAACCGAACGGAAGCTGGGTTGCAACCGTTGCGGCGGATTCACCACCGCTCACACTCGAACAACCAATGGAAGCCCACCTGGCCACCCCCAGCCCGTCCGAAACAAGCTGATTCACGGCAGCTCGATAATAGGGTAGACAGCACGCAGCTCATCTAATTTGCCTAATGTCATTACGGGCGGGAATGCCAAGAAGGAGAGGGTAGGGAAGGCTTGGATGGGCACAAAGGTCCTCGAGCCTCGTGCATGGCTCATCGGGCTACGTCGCATATGCTGGACACCACCAAACTCTCTTTCCTCGTCTGCCCAACCTGTTGATCCTTGACGACTCACTTCAACGTCTCACTTCACTTCGTGAACCGATTGATTGTGCGCACGTAGTACCGGCTTGCTAGTTCCGCACACCTCGCTCAGGTAAGCGCCGCCAGTTCTCGGATGTCAACATCCTTGATCGACACATCCAACTGCAGACAGATACACGTTCCATTCTACGTGATTGAAAATCTCTTCCTTCAAAGCAACTCGACAATACTGACGCGCGCGCCCTCCAGCTCTACCACTCCCGGTTCACCATGGTCGAGCTCCGTAAGCGCAAAGAAGCTCCCCCGGCGCCTGTGCGCCCAGCCAAAAAGGCAGCTCCTGCAAAGGGCAAGAAAGCCCCAAGCGAAAAGACAGTCGTCGAAAAGGTCCAAGAAACCGTTGCTGACACGGTTGAGACTGTAAAGGAAGCGGTGACCAGTGCGACCAACGGCAAGGACAAGAAAAAGGAGCACGAGACTGGACCCCTGAAGGTTGGCGACAGCATTGATATCGCGACATTTGGTGGTGAAGTCGAGACCAACGATGGGAAGAAGACGACCCTTGCGGCTCTTCTGGAGGAGAGCAAGAGCGGTGTAGTGCTGTTCACCTATCCCAAGGCTTCTACTCCTGGCTGTAAGTGATTCCCTCCTAGTCGCCAAGGCTCGCAGGATATCCACGCGCATCTTGCCCGCGATCCAACCCCTCTCAAGCTTCACAATATCACAAGCAGCCATTCATAGCACTTTCTTGGCCTCGCTTTCTTTGCGCGCTGCAGGCGAAGGTCCTCCGCCTCATACTAACAGTACTCTTCAGGCACCACCCAAGTCTGCCTCTTCCGGGACTCATACGGCCCCATCACCGCAACCGGCTACTCCATCTACGGCCTCTCAAACGACAGCCCCAAGGCAAACACCACCTTCAAGACCAAACAAAAGCTACCCTACACTCTACTGTGTGACCCAGCACAGTCGCTAATCTCGGCCATTGGCTTGAAGAAGGGAGCCAAGGGCACTACCCGCGGTGTCTTTGTCGTGGACAAGAAGGGCAAGGTGCTTGCTGCCGAGCCAGGTGGGCCGGCCAAGACGTTGGAGATTGTGAGGAAGACGATTGGTGAAGGTGCGAGTGGAGCAGATGCAGAAGACGTGGAGGCCGCGGAGACGGCAGCTGAGGTTGCTGATACTGCGGCCGAGGTTGATGGGAAGTAGGCGTCTTGGGCATCTGTTGTTAGCTCTCTTTCAGCGAATAAAACTGTTTCATTCTGATCCGCTGGTTCCTCACTCGATCATTTTGGCCCAAATCACACGGTCTGCTTGTCAGTATCCCATCGACGCGCCTCGTGCCCAAGCCAGCATCACTTCAATTCATGCTCTTAAATTCCACATTTTCACTTGAGCGAAGTAATGACTATGGCTTCGCAATTGATTAAACAACAGTCTTGTGCATTGTCGTGACTCCTCTCCTGCTAAGTGGCAAGGCTATCAGTCCATGTACATGGGAGCAGTGGCAATTCCATACCCCAGAGTGACTCTCAAGCCGCACATTACAGCAGACGTTGTTCGAAAGGCAGACAAAGTCCATCTTTACTAGATGCCCGCATTTTTAGCGCGATGCGTGCTCATACATTCACTGTATACGGCTCATTCGAAGTTCATGTGATCTCGGCATCATTGCTATGCATGGCTGCTTGGATCCTGACATGTGCCCCCCACACGTTACGGTGGGTCGGCTGTGAGCTTTTCTACATGTATACAATGCCAAACCAAAAAAAAACCATGGCGGCATTTGATTCGAACTAAATGACTGCATTTCTGGGATGCTACCCAAAGGAGTCGAGGCAGAGTGAACGTGGAGGCGAGTGCATCCGTTGTTCAGCCAACCAACACCCATGTGATGTTTAGTTAACACTAGCGCCTCGCATCGGGTTACCGCTCGAACATGCCAGCTTCTGTTGGACCATTTCATGCGAGCAAGGCTTAAGCTGCAATTACTGCAGAACGACATTGTTACGATTTACGCACTCGATTCTAGATACCCCCGTTTTTTGCTTCGTCCTTTTGCTGAGGTGGAGACAAGGCGGCCGATTCCCCGTTCACGACCGCATTCCTTGATCCCTTGCGACATTCGACATCACCGCCGCCCCCGCGGACTATCGCGCATGCTATAGACTTGGTCACACAAGCAGTCTCTGCGAAGATGTTAGGCTTCCGTCCGCCGGCTTTGGGAAAGCGGAAAGCCCAGGCATATAACCAGGCCCCGCCGGCCTACGACCGCGATATAGAAGATGGCCACTACGATGAGAAGGCATACGGCAGTGATGATGATGATGACGAATATGTCTCCTCGGTGGCATCGAGTGCCCACTCCTCGCGGCAGTCATCGGGCGCCTATGACGCCAACCCAAATAATATCGAATCACGACCACTCGTACCTAACGGGACACCCTCGAGAACACCACATCGAAGGGCAATATCAAGACCAAAAGTGAGCGCATACAGTTACAGAAATCCACGAGCATGCACGAGATATTTTGGCCTGGCGTTAGCAAGCACTTTGCTCTTTTTCATCTGGTTCCTCTTCAACAGCAGCTGGGATTCGATAAGAAGTGCCGAGCTGGGCTTACACAAGATGCCGCCTCCACCTCCCGTGTGGGAAAGCTTTCCCTTCCTAAAAAGATACCATGGCGGCATACGGACGCTGGTGAGTCGGGAGAAAAACAAGCCAGAGTACCCGACAAAAGAAGACATTGATCCGGAACTTCCTGCGGAAGAGGTCAAAGACATACCCAAGGAAAGACGGTCTGGGACACAAGGTGCACATATTGCAGACTCCATGGCGTTCAACCCCTACCCAAACTATGCCAGCCCCAACTATGTGGATCAGTACGGTCCTGTCGAGACGTGCTACCTTGATGAAAAAGAGACGATAAAGCTGCCTGAACTTCGAGCATACCAGGGTGTCCCGGATGGCATGCCAGATAACGTCATGGGAAGCTACGAACTGCTTGGTCTAAGGAACGACGTGTGCTTCGAGCGCTTCGGGAAGTTAGGACCTTATGGCTTGGGCTACAGCAAGAGGCGAGGTGGAACTGGTGCAGGCATGGAAGGGGACAGGGAGGGCATTGAGAGTGTCTGGAGTACCACACCTGAAGTCGACTTCCGCAAGGTCAAATGGGCTGATGTCTCGGACCGCTGTGTGAAGAAGAATGCAGAGCGCTTCAAAGCGTTGCCAAGATCAACAAAGGATACTTTCCAGAATTTCAAGCGAGATGTCGGGCTACCAGATAACAGAGACGACATTCCATCTAATCCCGATGCTCCCAAAGATGCTGCCAAGTCCACAGTCAAGGAGCAACCCAAAAAGGCCTATAAGAAGCTTCTTCCTCGATCGGCAGTCATCATCCGGACATGGTGGGACTACGAATACGATGACGAGGATATCATGTACCTCCGTTCGCTTATAGCCGAGTTGAGCATTGCATCGGGTGGCGAGTACCAAGTGCATTTCCTCATTCACGTCAAAGACGACAACAAGCAAATCTGGGCCGACGAGGAAGTCTATCAAGAGGTCCTCAAGAATGCGCTTCCCGAAGAGTTTGCTGGGATGGGAACTTTGTGGTCAGAACGCCAGATGGGACTCATCTACGGCGGCCTCGAAGAATCCAACTTCCGTGGTCTCCCTGTGCATGGTGCTTACAGGAGCACATTTATGCCTGTCACTTACTTCGCACACCAACATCCAGAGTACGACTTCTTTTGGCATTGGGAGATGGACGTCCGGTACACAGGTCACTACTACCACCTATTCGAGCAGGTCTCCAAATGGTCTGACGCCCAGCCTCGCAAGGGACTGTGGGAACGCAACGCACGTTTCTACGTCCCCTCCGTCCACGGCTCATGGGACGATTTCAAGCACATGGTCCGCGTGCAAACTGAGCACGGTACCAACAATCAAGCCAACCGCTGGTCATCACACCTCCCGCCCAACCCCCACGTCCCCGAGACCAAAGTCCTCAAGCCCGAGTCCCCAATCTGGGGTCCTTTGCTTCCACAAGACTTCCCTGACATCGAGCTTGACCCCGCTGTAAAACCCAACGTCAGCATAACAGAGGACACCTACGAATGGGGCGTCTCCGAACCCGCCGACCTCATCGTCTTCAATCCGCTTTTCGACCCGGACCAAACCAATTGGATCCTCGCCGAAGACGTAACCGGCTATGACCGCAAGAACGGCCTCCCCCCACGACGCACCGCCATCAACACCTCTGGCCGCCTCAGCCGCCGCCTCCTAGAAACCATGCACCGTGAACAAAGCAAATTCCGACACACCATGTTCAGCGAAATGTGGCCCGCCTCGTGCGCCCTACACCACGGTCTCAAAGCAGTCTACGCGCCCCACCCCGTCTTTATCGACCGGAAATGGCCGACCCAATATCTGGCCGCAATTTTCAACAATGGGCGCAATGGCGCCAGTGGAGGCGCGCGGCTGAGTGTCTTTAGCGATGAGCGTCAACACAATTTCTTGGGCACCACGTGGTATTACCACGCCGGGTTTGCGCCGAATCTGTGGAAGAGGTGGTTGGGGTATAAGGTGGATAATGATGGCGGGGAGGAGGATGAGGTGCTGGGTGAAGGGCGTATGTGTTTGCCGGCTGTGTTGTTGCATCCGGTTAAGCAGGTTGATTTGGTGCAGGAGAGCGGAGACGAGGCGAAAGAGGAAGCGAAGGGGGAGTAGAGAGGACGGTGGGTGTTTGGGGTGTAGGATCTGAAGTTGCTGTTGTTTGTATGTCATGATGGCGGCGTTTTTGGGAAGCATATCGTCGTCGGTGTTTGGCAATGTCAGCGTGTCGAGGATTTTTCTCTCCACTATTTTTTGGGGGGCATGATTATGGGATCTATAGTCCCTAGATTCGCAACGTCTTGTGGATATGAGACGGCATCTCAGCATAAACAAAGTATTTATCATGCGCGTAGCGAATCATTATATCAATTTATTACTGGGTTAGACTAGACTGTATTATTCTTCGATGTTCAAGTCTCCAACCGGAATGGGCCAACCCGCCCACCGTATCACAATGGTCGGTTTGGTGAAGAAGGGGAGAGTGTTTTGGCCCGTCTTTGCCAGTGAAAAGAATGGCGGTAGGGTTGTACCTTTTACTGTGAGTTTTGCAAGTGAAGGGGTTGATGTTAATTTACATGGACATGCCTGTACGTTTCGTCTGATTAGGACGCTCGAGATGCAATGCACGATATGTGCTATAGCCCGTAACTGATTAGATAGTATAGTTGGAGTATGACTTGCACTGCTACTGCACGATGTGGGTTGGTGCGATTCACACTGACATAGTACGATGTAGGTTAGAGCGATTCACATTACCGAGACACGATGTAGGTTAAACAGAATTCACACCACTACCACATCATCCCTATTGTACTTTTACACCAAGCATTCATTTATTCTATATTAAATAGGTCCCTGGCTTTCCCTTTGCAATTTATCATACTACTGCTTCCACAGTACACATCACACCAATAACTTGTGATTCGTTCCACTCGTGGAAAGTATCTACCTATTACACTATCACACTGAAGAAAACCCCGATACAGTCTTACCACACCGAGCAAAACAGACCTGAGGACTTTATACTGTAGTCTCATCAACACACCTCAACGACTCCACGTTCCGAAAAACTAAACTCAATCGCGGCTCCTTACCGACTTCGATCCAAAAATGGACGCCAACATGTATTCACCCACCCCCTCCTCCCCTTCCCTTTTCAGCACCACCTCATCCGACCTCCCCCCACTCCTCTCCCCCTACTGGCCAGAACTTGACTCCCCAAACCGCAATCTAAACCCGCCATCCAATCATCTGCGCCACAACACGCGAATGAATACCACCGCTAACACTGCCCAGTGCTCTTCATCGACTCCAGACGCAGATCCTACTTCACTGGAGGAAATCTATGATGAGACAATCTATGAATGTGGGATTTTCATGGGTGAGGCGTATGAGGATGGGGCTGTAGATAACGTCGACGTTGACGACGGTGTGAATGTAGATGTGGAGATGAACTTAGACATGGATGTACAATTGTACTTCGATATAGATGGGTATATCTCACAGACTGCCCATTCTGAGCTCTACAACTCGACCTCTTCTCCTCATCCCTACTCTTCCTCCCCTTGCCCTTACAACCAGTCAACCCAGACACCCGCCTCAACGCCTATCCCATTTGACGCACCAACCCCCCATCGTCCACACACCTATCCCGCCCATCCCACCACCCTCACCCCCCACCCCCCACCCTCCAACTCCACCCTCCGCTCCCCACCCAGCTCCCTCGCAGCCCTAAACCCCGCTCACACTCACACCGCACACTCGCGCGATCCGAACCTTGATTCGGCGGCCTCAGAGTCCACACCAAGTGCGTCTGCGACCGATGTTGATGAGCTTGAGCTGGGGTTGTGTGGGTATACCGGTATGCCGGATGAGAATGGGCATGGGGATGTGCGAGATGAGCTTGATGATGGGTATGCGCAGTGGGTGCAGTTGCAGATGCAGGGTCGGGTGGAGAAGTGGTTGGATGGTGTGTATGAGGATGGTAGTGAGGATAATGAGGTGTGTGGTGGGTGTTTAGCGTGAGGTGCACATATAGAGAGAGGGGGAAAGAGGAAAGATAAGATGAGGTATAGACAGCATGAAGGATGGGGTTTTTTTTTGGATGTACTACTTATATAGACTGGCGTAGGATGTTTGCTAGTCGCGTGTACAAAAACTAAATTGGGTTGATATTTAAAGAATCGTGTTGGAATTGATCACGTTTGGAGGTGTCATTGAAGTGTAAATGTTGAGTGAAACTTTGCTTAGAGGTTATGACGAGAGGTTATGACGTACCCATAGTGATTAAATGATACAACACATCACAGCCCCATTTCCCTCTTTATGTGTCTCCGCCATGAAAAAATACACACCATCGTACAGCGTCGGTAATCTATTCACACAAAATCAAAAACATCCCCCTTATCCGCAATCATCCTGACAATCCTCTTCGACCCCACAATCCTCTCCAGCTCCAGCCTCTCCCACCTAGAGAAGCAAACACGCACCCCAGCCTCCGCCCGACTCACCTCACCCCTCTCCACCGTCTTGCCCACAAACCCCAAAATTTCGTCGTAGAATCTCGGGTTCTCGGGGACGCCATAAAAGACGACGCGTTTGACTCCTCTGATATTATATCTGTGGAAGTGGTGCGCTCGTCCAGTATAGAGTAGTAAGCTGTGTTTTCCATTCATGAAATGCGAACGTGCTTTGCGGACGTCAGTTGTATCCGTGTATTCGCTTATGGAGGCGTAGCTGAAGTCTGAGTCGACAAGGGAATTGCGGACGCGGACGAAGTCAAGGTAGGAGGGTATGAAGACGAGGACACCGGGACCGCCTTCTGGGGTCTTGGGAAGACGGGAGATGGAAGGCAGGATGGAGGTGTTGAAGTATTTGAAACGAGCATCTGGGTCTGTGAGGTGGGATGGCGAGTCGAAGCGAAGAAAAGTCTGCTTTATGCCGTAGGAAAGAGTTTCGATTAGGCCAGTGGTGTAATCTTGCGTGTATTTCAAACGACCGGCTACGTTGCGCATGTATTTGTTGTATAGAGTATTGATTTTGGGCGTGAGGTAGGCAGATAGGACGATTGTCTGGCGAATGTGTCGGGCTTGGTCGTCGAGATACCACGATCGGACGCGGGAGAAGTCGCAGTCGTGGGGATCTTTTGGTTGTAGGTTGAGGTGCTCGAAGACAAATTCAGCGTGTTCCCAGTTTTGCATAAGGGTTGCGTCGGCTTGCTCCATTATGACCATTTCGATGGAGGAGAGGAAGTCGGAGTCTCGTTTTTTGGGATCTCCGGACTCAATAGCACGTCTTAGACCTAGCGCTGATGCTAGAATGATGTCTGAGTTGTAAAAGGTGGAGTATAGCTTCAGTGTCTTCCGGGTCAGCTTCACTCCAATGCGGAACTCGTTCTCGTCATTGCCCTCGAAAAGCTCGCGAAAGTCAGCAGGTTTTTCATCGGAGAACTTGTCCTCAGGCAGTGAGAACGATTCCAAGAATCTCTTCTTATTCTCTTGTTGTTCAAAGTCATGTAGCTTCGTGATGGAGTCGAGGAGACGCACGCAGGCCTGTTTTGTCTCGAGGAGAAACAGTATCTTCGGCCGCGTGAAGCCTTGATCGCGGTACTCGGCATCAACATCGTCTGTGGCCGCTGCCAGCTTGGCATTGTTCTTGATAACTCTGTCGCGGGTCATGAGGATATGGTTGAGTGCATGGAGGCAGATGATATCACGAAGGCGACCTGCATTCTGCACCGTCCTTGCGCCAAAAAGAAGGTCCTGGTAGTCGAAGATGGAAGGCGCAATGGCCTGTTCTGTGTCGTCGAAGTTGCCCAGCACCTTCTGCGCATTATCGACCAGGCGAGCTTTCAGGACAACGTCGCGGGTGCTACGTACTTTCCGTCGCGATAGAGCTATTTCATCTGCGGCTGGTACCTGAAGCACGCCTCTTCCTCGACCCACATCCAGCTTCTTCGTTATCCACTGATTATCTGTTATCCGCTTCAACCGCACTGCCAACTCGTTCTCGTCAGGATTTGCAAAATGAGCATCAAAGGGGCTATCTTCGGTGTTGTCCAATCGCTGCTGTTCTTCTTCTTCGTCCAGGTCTTCGGCTTCTCCCTCTTCCTCATGATCTTCTCCCCCAGACGCTGGGCCATTCGTCTCCGACCCTTGGTCATCCCCACGTGGGTGTGCGTGCCCCTCCTCTGGCATCAAAGCAGCGCCTGGTACCTCTTCTGGCCCTGGTACATGATGGTGCAGTTTCCGCTTCTTGCGATGGGACACATGTGGTGGGTCGACGACTGTCCCGCCGAAAGGGGTCTTCCGTGCAGACATCGATTGTAGCAAGGTGGCGTATATGGCCGAGGCAGGCTGGGCATCTTCACTGTCTTCGTCGTCCTCGGCTTCGGATGCAGATTCATCAGAGGACTCTGGCTGACTGTGCTCCGACTCGGGCGCCTGGCGAAATTGTGTATTTCTTTGGGAGCATTAGTATACCGGTCCACTCTTTTCGTTTGCGACATCCGTACTCACGACTCTTCGACCTGATCTGCTGTTCTCGCGGCAGCAAATCCGCCTCTCTTTGCGCCGCCTCTCGCAGCACCACGGCGGCCTCTGCTCATGGATGCGCCTCTTGCACCACCACGGAACCCACCACGCCCTCTGAATGGCGCCATGTTCGTTTTAGTTTTTTCTCCTTTCTTCTATTTTTGCAGTACTATCACAGCTCTTTCTTGGATTTTGGGTTGTATCGTTTGTATGGGAATTGCAGCGACCGTCGTTCCCCGTCGCAGTTGCTGCTTGGCTCTTCGCCAGTGTCTCCGCCAAAAAATAAATCTTGGTGGTCCGTGCTAGCGAACGCACCTGCCCAGATTTCAGGAAGAATATCAAAACGAGCCCCACCACCTTCACCTTCTTCGACCCTCTCCCCGAGCGCCTCTCCCTCCCACCCGGCAACCAATCCACTGTCGACGCAGCCATCATCGACGACACCATGGCCGAGAACGACTCTTTCCTGCACCTTGCGCGCCCCCTTGGTCCCGCGCCCGTTGGCACCCAGCCCTCGACTGCCCCGCTGAACGTGGCCATCCAGCCCCAGGTATGCGACCCTGTGTGGATGTGCACTGCCATTCTGCCTGCTGCAGCTTTTCTCAATCGCTGCTGATCTGACATGACCAGGCCGTCTTCTCCATCCTCGACCACTCGCTCCGCCGCCCCGCCGACCAAGAGCGCGTCATTGGCACCCTCCTTGGCACCCGCAGTGAAGATGGCACCGAAATCGAGATCCGCAACTGCTATGCTGTCCCCCACACGGAGACGGCCGAGCAGGTCGAGGTGGACATGGACTACCAGAAGCAAATGCTTGCTCTGCACCTGCGCGCCAACCCCCGCGAAGTCCTCGTCGGCTGGTATGCGACCAGCAGCGACCTGAACACCTTCTCCGCCCTCATCCAGAATTTCTACAGCCAGCAAGGCGACGGCACCTGGCCACACCCCGCAGTGCACCTCACTGTCTCCACAGTACCCGGCCAGGACATCGAGTCACGGACATACATCTCGGCGCCAATTGGTGTCACTGCTGAGCGTGCCGCCGACTCGTGCTTATTCATCCCCGTGCCCCATGAGATCAAGTACGGTGAAGCGGAAAAGTCTGGGTTGGAACTCATATCGGGAGCCAAGGACCGCGAGGACAGGTCACAGGAGATTCTCACCGATCTCGACTCGCTAGAGCGCGCCGTCATACATGTCCTGGATATGTTGGAGCGCGTAACGGACTACGTCAACAATGTGCTCGACGAGGAGGCGGAGCCATCATCAGCACTGGGACAGTTCTTGATGAACGCTCTCAGTCTGGCACCCAAGGTGGAGCCTGCTGACATTGAGCGCGACTTGTACGTTGGATTCGACCCTACAGCATTTCTTCATTCTTACTAACTCTTCACCAGCAATGCCCACATCCAAGACGTACTGGTGGTCTCATATCTCGCCAACACAATCCGCACACAAATCGATCTATCAAACCGCCTGGCAACGGCGGCCCTCACCATGGGTGGAAGCGATGCTCTGACTGGTGACGGTCAAAAGGAGGGCGGCGACAACAACAATAGGGGCAAGGGTGGTGACCGACGAGGCGGTGGCAAGGGCAGACAACAAAGACAACAAGAAGCTTGAATGGTGAGGATGCAGGACATCAACCCTCATTAGGGTTGGAAATGGCGTTTGACTGAACACGTTGCCTCTGGATGCACCACGACATCCAGCGGCGGGAAAATCTGAGCAAATGCTTGGAGTTATCGGCACAAAGAACAGCATGACGGGTCATTTTTTTAAACGACCTAAACGAAGGAAGACATGTCGAAGCGCCAGGATTTGGTGCATGGGAATTACGAGGCTTTCTGTATCAATATTGCCAGCCGGTGGGACAACGCTAGCTAGCTAGCAAGCAAGCATTAGACTGAGCTTCTTCTTTCAATAAGAAGAGCTCTGAAAAATGAATCATGTCAAATTCCCACGACGAGTGCCACTACTGATGACGGATGACGAAGAGGTGAGAAATCGATCCGTCTGCTTTTGATGGAGTGTCGCACGGGTTCGTTCTAGGACTCTCTTTCTCTTTCTCTTTCTCTCTCATGTGAGATTAGTCCTAGCACGGAATGTTACCAACCACATGAGTGGATATGAAATGAGAACGCCCGGTATTGAAAAGTACAGTATTGGAGCATGTCGTCATCTTACTTCACGACAAAACATAAACATAAACAGGCAGTTCTTATACGATCAAAACAACTCTCGATTCAACCCCCAACCCTATAAACGTATGCTCACATTCACATTCAGCATTGGCGGGAGGTGGGGAGGGCTTGGGGGATTTTTTTCTATTGTTTGATTTTGCTTTGTGTTCGATGTCTGAGTTGATCAATGTGGTAAGTTGAAAGTTACAAGTTGTATAGTCCTACACCATCACACATACATGTACCCTCTCGCTCCCACAAAAGCGCCACACAACCATGCACCCCTCTCCTCCCCGCTCCCACTCTTACACCTCACATCCTGGCACCCCATATGAAATAGCATGCGGGTAACACAACGCGGCTAAGCACAGTATCGCGCATCTTGCGGCGCAGGAGTATCTGCATCCGCATCCACACCCATACCCGCACTTCCCTCCCCACCACCATCACCACGCCCACCCACCCACGCGCCTTCACTTCACGCAGGATTCGAGACCAATGCTGTGCATAAAGTACCCAACGTGCAGCCATTTCCCGTTCCCGTTCGCGGCGTTCTTCCAGCTCATGAAGTGCACGGGCGCGACGGGCAATATCTGCCCAGTGTTGAGCGGAGATGGTCCAACGGGCGGCTGTTTCTTGTTCGCGGTGTTGGTCGCGGCGTTGATGTTGCTCGTGGTGTGTGCGGGCGCGATGGGCAATGTTTGCCCAGTTTTGGGCGGATGTGGTCCATTCGATGGGGGCTGTGGGTGGGGAGGTTGGTGTTTCTTGGTTGTGGGGGTGGGTTTGGGGGTAATCTTGGGTTTGGGTTTGGGTTTGATGTTGATTTTCGTCTTGGTCTTGCCACACGTGCTCGAGATCTGGGTCCTGGGGTTCGAGGGATGTGGGATTGACCATGGGGTAGGGAAGAGGGATGGTGGTCGCTGGGTGGGTGTTAGAAAGAGCATAACCAGCAAAACGACACTATTACTCAAGTCGTCG